TATTAGTTGGAAAGGTTCACTGCAAAAGCGTTTTGAGAGTAAAAAATTTATTTGATCAAATTAAATTATCAACACAAATTTTGTTCGTGGCTCTATTAAATATATAAACTGATTGACTTTGTAGAAAAATTAAAACGTCAAAATTCGTTCTCTGATTGTTTTAAAATGCGTTTTAATAATGTTGCAATTGTGGTGTGCAAGCCGTACGAATTATTTCTGCCCTTTAAAAGTAAACTGCGTATTGCTCTAAAATCCTGTAAAGTTATAAATTTTGAAGTATCCTTGTAAGGATTTTTTAGGATTCCCAAAAATAATTATTCTCGGAATATATGTGATTTTTAATTTATTTAAAATTTGAGGCTTTTGAATTATTAGCATTATAAACCTTTTTCTACCTAGTCTATACTTAAGCCAACAAAATCTTTAAACTTATAATAATATACATAATTTTTTTTTTTTGTCTGATAAAGTAATAAAATAATACAAAGTTTCATATAGCAAAAATATTTCCATAGTACCGTCATTATAAAAAATAAATAAACTGATGTAAATAAAATTCTTTTGCTTAAATTCGTACTGTGTGTTGTGCAAGATGTTATCAATGATTAAGTACCGCCATCATCATACATTGAGTGTTATTACTCATTTATGCCCTAAAAAACTTAGGAAAACTATTACTGAAGCGTTAAAAATAATATTTTTCTTCTTAAATCTTCTTTAGATTATACTGTTTGCCTCAGCTGGACGGGTTTTATTTTAGCACAGTAACTAATGGTAATCATTTCGTACGATTATTTTTTACTTATTTTTATTATAAAAGTAGTTAGGTAAAACGGGCAATATTATTCTTACTAAAAACATAATGTAATTTTTGCATAAAAAATAATAATCTCAAATATTCTAGAATAATTATTTCAATTTTTCATAATAGTTTTACTTTGTTTAAAGTACTATAAAATGGGTCAACTTGCTGATTATGTTGGGCCAATTAAATTTATATTATCATACTAGTCGTATCAATCGACAGCACTAGTAAAATGTTTACAAGTATTGTTAAAAAACGTAAAACATTTGTTGTTCACAAAAATGAAGTGATGAAATCTTAAAAATATTTAACTGCCCCCCAAGTTGGCCCATTGACACGTTAAAGTAAACGGTTTTGAACGGCAATAATATTTTCTTGTTGGTCGCTGTACCAAATCATATTTTCTTGCCAGGATCATTACAATATTTTCGTTGTTATTATTTTTTATTTTTATAATACACACTACGTTCCAGGAGAGAAATGGTGTATGTCGGTGACAGGTGAATGCTGTGATGTCCACTCGCACAAGCATTTCCTGCTGCACATTGGTGTATTTTCGAAATACGGCTGGAAAGAGATGAAAAAAACGTGATAGGGTGAAAAACAACGAAAGGTAAATTGTGAGGATGTTACTAAGAATATTTTAAGATTATTACCTGTCCTGTGTGTTCTCTTTGTCGGTCCCCGTCCAACCTTTAGTCGTCTCCGTCACACATTTATATTCTTTGGTAGTTAATAAAATAAATAACCCGGTGACGACACTAATCCCGCTGGGAGAGCATTGGCGGCACTTCTAAAAATAGTACAACGATTAGCATCTTCCAGTGATATTATTGTTATTACTATTATTACCGTGATTGCTATTAGTTTTCAAGAGTTTTATTGCGTAGAGTCATTACACGAGTAAAGCAATAGACCTTAACCCCTTTTGAAAAGTGAAATTTAATTGAAAATTATCGACAATAGATAAAAATAACCACTGGAATTCTTATTTTAACTGTATTTTATTTTTCAACCTTAAAACTCGACGGTTATTGTAATATTTGCATAATAATGGTGATGGCGTTACTGGGTACTGATTTACACAGAAAGTTATCGTCGTTAAGTTTTTATGTCTCTCTTATTTATAAAAAACAGTGACTATAGAATTATATGTCGAGAATCGCATATATTTAAAATGAGATTGTAGATCATTTCTTATCAATCGATCAAAAATGTTGCATTGTTTACGGTTTTTAAAAGTTTAAGGTTTTGGGTTATTAAACGGTTTGTACGGAGATTAATCAGATATCAATTAATATTATCTTGTACTAAATTTTGTGACTGGCATGAGTATTTAAAATGATTATTATTCTCTCTAAAAATGTTTACACAGACGACAGAGAAATGAGAAATTTATTTACCCGCGGAAAAGTGTCTCCGAGTAATAATTGGTTGTTAAAAAGCAAAATGTATTTAGATAAGTAAAAAGGAAGAGGATATATGACAATTAAAAATCGTAGGGCAGGTTTTCCGAGAAGAATTTTCGTGACAACTACCTGTTCACATTAAAAATTTCTGGACACTTTTAATGTCTATGTTGAGATATGACTCCTAAGACTCTGCTTATGAATTCGTTCTCGGGCGATAGAAGAATTTGTTTTTATAGCTCACAAGATAACACGACTCTTTGCGATTGTACTGCCATAGTATTATTTATTAGTTTATTCGTCGAGTAGTTTCAGGATATTGGCCTGATTTGTATGTGCGCCGAGATGTTTCCAAGTGCAGTTTCCTCGAATTACATTAGAATAATAGAGACACCGGAGATATTCGACGGTCATATAAAACAATGTCGGCTAACACACGATCCGATTTAATAGGACGATAAAGGCAAGCCGAGACATGCGCTTCTTCTCTAGAAACCCCTCGGACCTCTCGGTTTTTGTCGGCACAATATTATCGTTGTAATAATAACATACGAGTCGTTTGTTTTTCGTCCAAGCAATCGTTTTGTTTTATTTCCGTTTGATTAACAATGCGCTCCTAATGTCATCGGATCAAAAACTCGCAGTTTTAGACATTTCGGCTTGCTGTTAATAAACATGCTGACAACTTGGTAAACTATCGACGTTTACCGATTAAGGAGATTTCATATGATTTCTCAGCACATGAAAATGTAGTGATTATTGTTCATCATGACAGTGCTCCGAGTTGTTTATAAACTCTTTCGCTGAAAATTCGGCTAAATTTTTCGTTTGACGTCTACGAAATATAATATTAAAATTAAATAAATAATTAATAAAAACACGCAGTGTTTTAAACGTGGTCTTATTGGACATTTTAATCTGTTTACTTTTGTTTTGAACAGGTTTTTTTTTTTTTAAAATCCTGCTTGAAATAACGGCGAGAAACGATCCCAAAGAAGATTTTTAATAGTTAGAATAGACGAATGAGAATAAAAATCGACTAATNACGGGGATCCAAAACGACCTAGTGAATTCAAACATAATAACTATAACTATGGTTACCTAGTGTACTTACTAAAAAATTGTACTCTGGGATTTTTTTTATCCAACCTCCTAATTAGCATACGAATTTTAATAACACTCAGACATAGTGTTCGAGTATTATTAAAATTCGATACCGTAAATTACTTGATACAAAAGCATGTAATTCATACCGATGTGCACATTTTTTATCGGATCTCTGTAATCTGGTCTGCCGCTCCGATTGATGTTATTATTTCAGAATATACACTAAAGATTACCACAGCGAATGCATTAGCGATGAGAGGAACTTCTCGTTTGCGAGTTTTGCAGGCTTTTCGTTTCTAAACAACGGCTAATGGTACTTGCAAATGCTTTCATAATAGATACTTGAACTTTTATATTTTACTACCGAGAGTATTATTTTTTCAAACAATAGCTTTTCTATTTTACAGACAATATTAGTTGGAAAGGTTCACTGCAAAAGCGTTTTGAGAGTAAAAAATTTATTTGATCAAATTAAATTATCAACACAAATTTTGTTCGTGGCTCTATTAAATATATAAACTGATTGACTTTGTAGAAAAATTAAAACGTCAAAATTCGTTCTCTGATTGTTTTAAAATGCGTTTTAATAATGTTGCAATTGTGGTGTGCAAGCCGTACGAATTATTTCTGCCCTTTAAAAGTAAACTGCGTATTGCTCTAAAATCCTGTAAAGTTATAAATTTTGAAGTATCCTTGTAAGGATTTTTTAGGATTCCCAAAAATAATTATTCTCGGAATATATGTGATTTTTAATTTATTTAAAATTTGAGGCTTTTGAATTATTAGCATTATAAACCTTTTTCTACCTAGTCTATACTTAAGCCAACAAAATCTTTAAACTTATAATAATATACATAATTTTTTTTTTTTGTCTGATAAAGTAATAAAATAATACAAAGTTTCATATAGCAAAAATATTTCCATAGTACCGTCATTATAAAAAATAAATAAACTGATGTAAATAAAATTCTTTTGCTTAAATTCGTACTGTGTGTTGTGCAAGATGTTATCAATGATTAAGTACCGCCATCATCATACATTGAGTGTTATTACTCATTTATGCCCTAAAAAACTTAGGAAAACTATTACTGAAGCGTTAAAAATAATATTTTTCTTCTTAAATCTTCTTTAGATTATACTGTTTGCCTCAGCTGGACGGGTTTTATTTTAGCACAGTAACTAATGGTAATCATTTCGTACGATTATTTTTTACTTATTTTTATTATAAAAGTAGTTAGGTAAAACGGGCAATATTATTCTTACTAAAAACATAATGTAATTTTTGCATAAAAAATAATAATCTCAAATATTCTAGAATAATTATTTCAATTTTTCATAATAGTTTTACTTTGTTTAAAGTACTATAAAATGGGTCAACTTGCTGATTATGTTGGGCCAATTAAATTTATATTATCATACTAGTCGTATCAATCGACAGCACTAGTAAAATGTTTACAAGTATTGTTAAAAAACGTAAAACATTTGTTGTTCACAAAAATGAAGTGATGAAATCTTAAAAATATTTAACTGCCCCCCAAGTTGGCCCATTGACACGTTAAAGTAAACGGTTTTGAACGGCAATAATATTTTCTTGTTGGTCGCTGTACCAAATCATATTTTCTTGCCAGGATCATTACAATATTTTCGTTGTTATTATTTTTTATTTTTATAATACACACTACGTTCCAGGAGAGAAATGGTGTATGTCGGTGACAGGTGAATGCTGTGATGTCCACTCGCACAAGCATTTCCTGCTGCACATTGGTGTATTTTCGAAATACGGCTGGAAAGAGATGAAAAAAACGTGATAGGGTGAAAAACAACGAAAGGTAAATTGTGAGGATGTTACTAAGAATATTTTAAGATTATTACCTGTCCTGTGTGTTCTCTTTGTCGGTCCCCGTCCAACCTTTAGTCGTCTCCGTCACACATTTATATTCTTTGGTAGTTAATAAAATAAATAACCCGGTGACGACACTAATCCCGCTGGGAGAGCATTGGCGGCACTTCTAAAAATAGTACAACGATTAGCATCTTCCAGTGATATTATTGTTATTACTATTATTACCGTGATTGCTATTAGTTTTCAAGAGTTTTATTGCGTAGAGTCATTACACGAGTAAAGCAATAGACCTTAACCCCTTTTGAAAAGTGAAATTTAATTGAAAATTATCGACAATAGATAAAAATAACCACTGGAATTCTTATTTTAACTGTATTTTATTTTTCAACCTTAAAACTCGACGGTTATTGTAATATTTGCATAATAATGGTGATGGCGTTACTGGGTACTGATTTACACAGAAAGTTATCGTCGTTAAGTTTTTATGTCTCTCTTATTTATAAAAAACAGTGACTATAGAATTATATGTCGAGAATCGCATATATTTAAAATGAGATTGTAGATCATTTCTTATCAATCGATCAAAAATGTTGCATTGTTTACGGTTTTTAAAAGTTTAAGGTTTTGGGTTATTAAACGGTTTGTACGGAGATTAATCAGATATCAATTAATATTATCTTGTACTAAATTTTGTGACTGGCATGAGTATTTAAAATGATTATTATTCTCTCTAAAAATGTTTACACAGACGACAGAGAAATGAGAAATTTATTTACCCGCGGAAAAGTGTCTCCGAGTAATAATTGGTTGTTAAAAAGCAAAATGTATTTAGATAAGTAAAAAGGAAGAGGATATATGACAATTAAAAATCGTAGGGCAGGTTTTCCGAGAAGAATTTTCGTGACAACTACCTGTTCACATTAAAAATTTCTGGACACTTTTAATGTCTATGTTGAGATATGACTCCTAAGACTCTGCTTATGAATTCGTTCTCGGGCGATAGAAGAATTTGTTTTTATAGCTCACAAGATAACACGACTCTTTGCGATTGTACTGCCATAGTATTATTTATTAGTTTATTCGTCGAGTAGTTTCAGGATATTGGCCTGATTTGTATGTGCGCCGAGATGTTTCCAAGTGCAGTTTCCTCGAATTACATTAGAATAATAGAGACACCGGAGATATTCGACGGTCATATAAAACAATGTCGGCTAACACACGATCCGATTTAATAGGACGATAAAGGCAAGCCGAGACATGCGCTTCTTCTCTAGAAACCCCTCGGACCTCTCGGTTTTTGTCGGCACAATATTATCGTTGTAATAATAACATACGAGTCGTTTGTTTTTCGTCCAAGCAATCGTTTTGTTTTATTTCCGTTTGATTAACAATGCGCTCCTAATGTCATCGGATCAAAAACTCGCAGTTTTAGACATTTCGGCTTGCTGTTAATAAACATGCTGACAACTTGGTAAACTATCGACGTTTACCGATTAAGGAGATTTCATATGATTTCTCAGCACATGAAAATGTAGTGATTATTGTTCATCATGACAGTGCTCCGAGTTGTTTATAAACTCTTTCGCTGAAAATTCGGCTAAATTTTTCGTTTGACGTCTACGAAATATAATATTAAAATTAAATAAATAATTAATAAAAACACGCAGTGTTTTAAACGTGGTCTTATTGGACATTTTAATCTGTTTACTTTTGTTTTGAACAGGTTTTTTTTTTTTTAAAATCCTGCTTGAAATAACGGCGAGAAACGATCCCAAAGAAGATTTTTAATAGTTAGAATAGACGAATGAGAATAAAAATCGACTAATAATGTAGACATACCATTAAGAATTTAAAAAAATGCTAGCAAAATTAACTATTTTAATTGCCTTTATTTTAATTAATCAAGTGTGAACAATATATACACGAGGCAATCTTTTACTAAGTAATTAAGTATACCTTAAAGATAAAAGGTAAATGATAAAGTATACCTTATTTATTTACTATATTTTATAAAAGTTTTATTTGATTTTCTCTATTTAATTAGTAAAGTTCAAAATAATAAACAATAAATGAGATGTCATTGTAAATGCATAATTAAGCGAAAATGGAATTTACATTTACCAATTAAAATTTATAATATATAATATAGAAAAAACTGTATTGACTTGTGACGGAGAATTGCGATGTGAATTTGAGGAATTATTACTAAATAAGTTTGGTTTTTTTCAATTTAAAATTGAATTTGCCAGTGTCTGAGATGGAATGTGAATAATTAGCAGTGACAGAAGTATAATGTTTTTTTATGAGCTAGTCATTTTTACATTAACTTATTTTAATTATTAGACTTCATAAAATGGGCCAGACTATGAGTCTTAAAATTATACATAAGGGCTTGTTGATGGATTGTGAAGTGATACTTATAAAATAAATTATGTAAATATTATAAGTTTTACTCAAGTATGACCTCATAATATTATACAAGGCATAAAGAGGGGAAAAAGCTGCATTAGACAGTTTAATAACTTTTTCTAAGGTTTTTTATTTAATGTAGTCGACAACAAAGCCAAATAATAAGTGTATATAAGCACCTTTTTCGTTAAAAAATACCTTTGATATTAAATTTCACGTTTTTGTTTTTATAAAATGTAATTTTGAATTCACTCGGTTAAGAAATCTCAAAGGGATTCGTCATTAAATTATAAAACCTTGTCGCACAAAAGCATTTTAGCCATTTTATAGAAAGTTTCAAGAAAATTCGCTGTGGTAATTAAATATCTATCAGCATGATATTCGCAGATGCGCTTACATTAAATGATTTTGGCCTTGTTTGACAGGTAATTACGACGTCGTTTAAATAACACCAAAGATTCATCATTCGAGACGATTATGCACATTATTCATGTTTGTTGACTATGAATAAATTACTCGAGATTTGGATTTGAAAACTCTCGAAGCGACCGAAATTCTACCAATTTCTGAGGACGGGTTTTTTTATCAAACGCTATTTTCGAGATAAGGTATGATAAAAAGAAAAGGAGAAATAGAGAAATTCAATTGTAATACAATTTACTCGGAAAACTACATCGTTTTTTACAATGTTTTATTTATAACAAAATTTGTCTTTCGTGTGTTTAGTGTGAATTTACAAACACGAATCATAAACTTTTAGAATGTCGTTCGAGAAAATAAAACTTCTAAACAAAATACAAACGGTATGTGCGCTAGAAAATAAGATAAATAAACGAATTTGTAAATCGATCAGCTTTTTGTCGGCAAGCGGCAGTGCGTTGTTGTCTGCGACCCAAAAGAGATGAATTTTGGACCGTTTAAATTATTAACAGCGACAGTGTGGCAAACATCCGAAATAGATATTTTTAAGTACATACGAAATCCGGCGGTGTAAAAACGACTACGGTGAACGAGGGAAAGGTTATCGCGGCCAACAGATATAATTGGAGATGAAAGAATATCAAAGACACTCACCGCTATTAAGTGGACGTTTGAAGAATTATTCAAATACAACTGTCATTTGTAACGAATAGAACTTACATGTTATTTAGTTGAATAATGTATGAGAGTTTTGTTATAAAATATTTCCATTAATGTCGCCTAATTATTCAGTCCGTATATTTTGTATCGTTAGGCATTTGTGTAATGATTGTATAAATTATTTGAAAAGTTATCATGTCATTTGACATAATATTCACTAGCGATTCCATCGGACAAATTACTGTGAATATTTAATAAATTTTTATCTCATTGTCCACGCTAATAAATTTACTTATCGGCGTACTTAATTAACAATAGCTAAAAAACGATATTGGAACATTAATCTTCGGGCAGTGTTTAAGATGAGGTCGAAATGAAATTCAGTTGTCACCGTGTCAATAGTCGCATAGTACATAATTGTATTTACCGCACGCTCGGGCCTTTTGATCCTCCACGTCGCCTGCGCCAACAACGATTGATGACCTAACGCCAAGGCCTGGGTGGTCCAGTGCATACACTTACTCTGTTATATGTGTTAACGAGAATAAAATGTTTGTGTGCACTAGCATTTGCCAAGGAAAAAAACACCCAATATCGTGCGAAGAGGTAGCCGATTTTTTTGCTTCCCCGCAGCCGAGTAAAAAAGCATTTTAGCGCGCTCAAAGGCATTCGGGAAGCCGACGTCGGAGTTACTGTACCACATTACAATAACGACCATAAAGAAATGCGTCTTCGTTGTTTCATTGATCAACTCGGTCCGTGGGAGGCATTTCCCTTGTTCTGTTCGTTCCGGTCGGGGTCCCGCGTGTCCAACGTTGTTTATTGTGCCTTCATATCTTCATCACCGTGTTCATCTTTATTATTTTACGCAGAAACAGCACCATAACGGGTGCCCATTGGTGGCCCATTGATATACAACCGTGTTTTGGCCATGTCTACCGTGTGATTATATTGATTTACCGGGCACCGGCAAACAGGCTGTCACATAAAATGTGCGCTACAAAAGGACCGCTCGTACACACAAGTGGAATGGGACATGTTGGTTTTAGCTCAGTGTCCCTTTGGAGTGAAATTTAGCGCAAATATTTGCACAAGTGTCACTTGTGTGTCCTTGCGCGCGCGCGCGTTTGTGTGCTCTCCGTGATCAGATTCGAGCACAATAATAATAAACGGTTTGACGACGACCAGACATGTCCCGCTGTCACCTCCTGGTGGGACACGGCGGTACAAATATTTTTCTTCTTCGGAAAAAACCACCCACGTCATCATTATGACTTTTGTCACAGCCTCCCGTGCCGCCGATAGTAGTGAAACAAACCCGTGGGGTTGAGACGAACAGGCAGGTAAACGTTTGACAGGCTGCGTGAAAAATTAGCATCGCGCGTTTGCTGTCCGCTCTCCGCAATTATCATACGGCTCATCAGAATTAGTCGCACATTATCTATCACGGCCAGAGCAATCGACCTATTTTCGAAACTATTTTTTACAATCATTATAAAAAGCGTGGCTTATTTATTTAGTGTACTCGGTTACTTTATTTTTAATACCTTTGAATAAAGAGTGAAATAGTTTTCATCCAATTCCGATTCTAGATCTATATGATCGAGTGCTATAATATTCCGCCAAAAGAAAAATGGAATTGATATTTTTAACTGAATTTTAGTGATTGGAGTTAATATAACTCCAATCGCTAAAATCGTATAATGTTTAAGTGCATAATTAATTAGGTTTTAGAAGAAATAAGATGAAATTTGACGTCAGTAATTTTAATTCACTTTATTGAAAAAAATATTCATTTATTTATTTATAAATATAAATAAAGTACTATAGATTCAAATTTCATAGGAATTATCATAAGATATTATATCCGTTGGAGTACTGACAGTTTTAAATACCCAAATTAGTAGGGAAGTTAGTAATTTATTTAGAGTGCATTTAATTGTAGTAATGAACAACTCGGAATATTATTCACTACTACTCTAATCAAAAGTATTTTCCGTAATTTCACTAATGGTTACTTTACTAATTGAACTTTTTTCAATTACAATGCTAGATACCGTAGTGATGAAAGTTCATTTACTTCAATATGAGATTCTTATTTCATCGCGTACATCATGATTGAAAAATATGATTAGTTAGATAAAGTAAAAAATATAACAAGCGCTATGAGTCCCTTCTAGGACACTTCTATCTAAAAACAAAAAAATGTGCATTTCTAGTGATGAATAAAAAAGATAGAAAGCTATACAATAGAAAAATATATAGTAGAGGACAAAACCACATTTTTTCGGTTTCCAAAACTATTAATCCACTAGAGTTTACACTCAAACAATGATTTAACAAAACTATTTCCTGTAAAGAACTTATAACATTAGGATTTCTTATTCATATGACTAGTAAAAATAAAAGTATTATTTATAAGCGACTACTGGTCACTATTGCGTTTTATTTTGGAATATAGTCGTGTGTAGTTGTTGAGACTTCCACGAACATTATTTTATTGGAAAGAGTTTAACGCACAATTTTTCTATCAGCCGCTTTTTTCCTGAATATTTCACATACTCCGCATGATTATTCTTCTATCCTTCGCTCTCTTGTTCGGATTGCTTGGCAGATCGTCGTTTACATTTTAATATATATTTTCCTACTAATCATTTGATGGGCTTGTCTCTATTATTTGAATTCTATTCCGCGTTTTAATAAAAAAATACCAAATCAATCGCTCCTTTTCGGTTCCGTCTGCGTGAACAACCTATTTGCCAAATGCTCCTCCCATCCCACGATCAATGCGGATTGCTAATGAAAACCCATCACTTTTTATCATTCATTTGTCATATAACTAGTACTGTAATATTTTTCTTTTTAAGTTAACTTGTATCTTATATATGCCTTTGATTTGTTGCATTTTACATAAAACAGTTTTACTTAGGCTCACACCTATTTTGCTTTATAAATAAATAAATTTTTATATTATAATTAATGCATTATTTAGAGAAAAAAAAATTTGAATTACATTTGTAATGTTTATTTAGGTTCTAACAAACATATGAGTTTCAAAGACATAGAATAGTTGAAAATATTTATATTGTGCTTAAGATATTTAATAAAGAAAAATTAGATCTGTCAATTGATGGAAGATTTGGTATCTATTTATGAAGTTACACGAAAAACGACAGTATTGTAGATGAGATTTGATAACGCACCAACAATAAAATAAATTACATGCGGCGACGACAAACAAAGGCGAACTATCCGCCTTACTGTCATGTAATCTGAGAAAAATATGTTTTTTTCGTTTACATTTTAAAATAATAATAAAAAAATCGTACTCGGCGTGTTTCTTGCGTGTTGGCATTCCTCATAACAAGTACACCTGTATGTATATCGGTATATTATACTCATTTATAATGTAGTACCTATTACTACAGTGTGTAATGTTTCTTTCATCTCATCCCTTACAAAATGTGTTTTCCAGTGATTTTGAAATAATTGCAAAAACGTCATTTAAAGAGTTTTCAGATACATATTATAGTTCAATGAAAATAAATAATTCTCAATAGGATATTAAAAAGAAAATTTCTATAGAAAAATATAAATATGCAAAATTTGATAGATAACTTCGATGACTAAGAGCAACAATGCGTTAAATGCATTTTCAAAAAAAAATTTAACAATTGTATGATTTTATTAACATTTATAAATGACATATTGATATAAATTTATAGAATGTAAACTTAATAGTTAATGTTGTCTTAAATTATTGATAATAAATGAGTAATAGTCTAAAAAGTTTAAATGGATTTTTGTCAAAAAAACAATCGACATCAAATTTTTGTCGAGTATAAAAGGATAAAAATTAATCTATTTATTTATTTAGAATTTTACTCGAAAAATTATTTTGAGTAATCCACATCATTTTTTTAAATATCGTCTTTAAAAGCTTAGCACAGTAAGCTTAGTTGTGATTAGTATAAATATAAACTCATATTTCGTTCCTCAGAGTATTAAAGAAATTATTTCTAGTTTTAGACTAGATATTGAAGTAATTCTTATGCAAATTTCAGATTTTAAGTCCATTCACAAAAGTTAAGAAGAATTGTAGAACTTTTACCTCGTCAACTTACTTCATCCTATTCATCTTGTTAGTTATTTATAATAAATAGGATTTTTTTTTACAATTACATAAAAACAAAAAAATAAATATTGTAATATTAGATAATACTGAATATTATTTAAAAAAAACTTATTAAAAATACCATTTTACATTGAGTGATGTAAAATTGATAATATTTTTGAGTTAATTTTTGGGAATGGTATTCTCAATATACCATATTATTATTTTTAACTTGTTTTTATTATATTTTATATTATTATAAAAAATGGTTATACATTGGCCAACAAAAAAACAAAATAAAAAAATTAATTATCGAAAAATAATTTCGAAATTAATCGTTTTAACTACAAATAATTCAATCATACGAAGTAAGAAATAGTCTATATTGAATATAAATTTAACATTTAATCAATTTTATAATTTTGAGGTAACAAACGCTTTAGAGTTATATTTAAAAGTTTTTAAATTTATACTCAAGTCCAGTTTAATGTAATTATATAGTGTTTTTTTTTACTAGGAATTTTTCGATTATATATACACTAAAGTATTGTGAGGGGGTATAGAAGTTATATATGCAAAAATAAAGAAGCCATAGAAAAGCAAAATAGTGAAGCCATAGAAATGCAAATATAAAGAAGCCATAGAAATGCAAATATAAAGAAGCCATAGAAATGCTAATATAAAGAAGCCATAAAAATGCAAAATAGAGAAGCCATAGAAATGCAAATATAAAGAAGCCATAAAAATGCAAAATAGAGAAGCCATAGAAATGCAAATATAAAGAAGCCATAGAAAAGCAAAATAAAGAAGCCGTAGAAATGCAAAAAAATAAAAAATCCATAAAAATGCGAAATTGAGAAGCCATAGAAAAGGATAAGTTAAGAAACCATTGAAAAGTTATGTTGGATTGTCAGCCGATGGTTTCTAATTTCAATAACATAACTGCATTCTTTTATAAGGTTTGGAACAGGTGCATAGTAGAGATCAGCAATTAGTTACGTTGCAAGAGCATTGAGGTTATAGCCTTTTCATCGACTATAATATTCATCATTAAATTTAAGTGACGAGCAAAAAAAAAAAAGCCCGTCCATTTGCATTATTTTGGACTATACTCCCAAACCATTTTGAAATCCTTGTTATGTCACTGATATCGATATAGATCGTAAACAGGATAATAAAAACAAATTAAGTCTTTTGACATAAAAAGGCAGAGGAAAATGATTGAATTACTTGTATAAATTTTAAATAATTTATATTTTCTATGGTACTCAGTCTCCGAAAAATTAACCGTGATTAGAGTAGCCGGAGACTTCAATCGTAATTTTAATTTAAACATACCTATTCAACAAATAATTATTAAGGCTTATTAAAGATAATTTGATTGCACAATAAAAAGAATACTGCAAGTTAAATAATATTTTTTTATTTTTATTATACAAACAATAAAATGTTTAACGGTAGTCGATAAAATTATGTTAGGTTGAAACCTAATGCTAACATTACATCAATAATATGGTATTTATAGCGAATGAAATGAATGCAAAATGCAATCATATATTTCGAGAAAAAAATATATAAACATTTAGAAGCTATAACATTTTTTATAATCATTATCATACATTTATACTAATAGTAATAATAATTATATTAATAATCAAATACACATGTATTATAATAATAAAGACAGCTATTTTTTATAATTTTTTTACATAACATTAATGAAAATTATTTTATTCATTATGGCGTCCACATGCTTTATTCACAAGCATATTTCCAAGAAAAATTATTTTTAAATTAAATAACGCACGCGTGATTTATTATAATGTCCGTTTAATTTTTTACACGCGGTAGACTAGAACAATAGTTATTATTATTCATATCTACTCATTATGTTTCAAAATCAACAATAATTTACAGAATTAAAAAAAAACTTCAATTATTTTCAATGAAACTCGAAAAAAAATCCACAGGCCTAAGTACAATTTAAATACTACAGTTATTCCCTTTTTCGAAATTATAATTTCACATAAATTACATGCACACCATTACTTTCACTCAGGAAGACTGGATTATGACAAAGAAAAAATAATATACAATGAGCTATTTTATATTAATTTCCAATGATGGCTTTTACTTTTCATAAAAATATTGATAATAAACGCAAAAGAATATTACAGTAGTCTAGTAAAGTATGTGGCACCTTTAAATTTACATTTTAGGAGATATTTGGCGAAATTACTACTTAGATGTGGAAATATAAATGCAATTAAAAAACTAATTGAATTTATTAATCATAACATAGCTGTTTGCTTTCAGAGAAAATGAAAATTTAAAAAAAAAAATTAAATATTCTTCTTATAGTTACAAAATGTAGAGTATCTTAATCATGAATATATTTATAGCTCTATTAATATCTATAATATAGAAAACTAAGTGTCAACTTAATGATGTGTAACCAGTGGATGTCATACCTAAGTAAATATTAATCTCATATCACAATGTTTGATAGGTAAATTCAATAAATCTATTTTTTGTTTTTATCGTTGTAAACTTATTTAATTCCACAGATATTTAGATTGAAGCATACAATTATTAATGATTACTAGGAAATTTCTGATTCAAAGAACGATACAAACAAAATATAGATGTTTATAGTTTACCAATAACCAATAATAATTAAACTCGTATAATTTATCATACAAATAATAATAATTAAAAAAAATAATAATAGCATGATTTGTATTACATAATTATAGTATTTTGCTTTGTTGCATGTATATATTGTGCCACAACTACCATGTGAGGATTGTACCCTCTCTTCCTTCTTACCATAGTTTCAAAATAGTAAACCCCACCTAATGTATGTAGGTGTGGGGTCCATGTTTTATACACACCTTGTACATCCAGTTTTTGTGGCACTGTGTATATACATTTACATGAAGTGAGAAAGTTAACAGCCAATAAATGGCAAATATAAGAACTAGAATTTTTGATACAAATTAAAATACTGTGTTCACTAAAATAATATTATACTATTTAAGGCGACCAACTAATGGCTAGCTGTATAAAAAATGTTTGTAAATTCTAAAAGTAGCATCGTACTATAAAAAGAATTGGAGTACATTGTTTTTTTTATTATTATCAACAAGATAAAGTAAAGTGAGTTATGAATGTTAACACAAAATGAGATAAAATGTTATTACACGAAAAAAAATTCCAATGACTAATATTCGTCAAATTTTACAAATAAATGTGAGAACTAAAACAAATCAAACAACAATTTTGTTATGTCCTAAGTTAAAGTTAGTAAATGGTTATTAACCTTAACTCGACATACAACAATAAAAAAATAGTTTATTTGTTGTTTGGGCGGTATAGTTTTAGACGCTGAAATTTAAATAATATAAATAGATATATAAATTAAAATTTTTTAGAAATCAAAATAACACGAATAAAATTAAAACTTTATAAATCAATGAACATTTAGTAAAAGAGAAACAATTTTTTTTTTCAATTAAGTCTTGATAAAAGGTTTTAACTAAGCGAGTGTTATGTATATTATACACAACAATATTCATAATAATAAAGTCAAAAATGTATTAATTGACAATAAAATTATTCGATTGTTATTATCAATGTATAATATACAACACTATAGACTATTTTACAAACATTAAGGCACAAATCGTATCATATTTTTTATATATACTGAATATGTGATTCACATATAGATAATATAATATGACTTACATAATTTATGTGCAAAAATTCTGCGAGCTAATAATATGAACGAAAAATTAATATCTAAGTAATTGAGACAGATACTTAGACCGTGATTTTTACTCAGTAAAAATCATTTTATAAATATTTTACACATCTATCACTATAAATATTCACAAAAATGTGTCCTAAATCTATCGTATATATTCACTTAATAACACGATAATATAATATTTTTTATGACTAACTTATTTCTAAAACCACAGCCCTTTGTAAACATATATATATATTTATATATACTTTTAACACTTTCAGCTCGATTATTATTACATTTTCGTGTTATGATAACTTTTTAAGGAAATTATTAAAAAAAAGTTTCTAGCCTACAAACTGTAACTAATTTTAATCCGATTTTGAAGTAAAATATAATAAAATAAAATAACAGATATTATAACAAACCAGTTCTACAAAAAATAAAAATTATAAATTTACATACATACATATATCATGAGTACACAATAGTAATTAAATTGTTTAATTCCGTTTCATCATTTGACTAATATTATAAAGATAAAGGCAGCTATTTTTTTTTTAAATTGGCTTGTGTTCTTTGTTTTTTTTTTTTTAATTAATTCATTTAAAACATTGAAAATGTATAAATCATATATACTCATATTAATAAATTATTTACATGAACGATTATACCTAATTGGTTATAACATCATAGTTCTATCAAAGAAAATGTAATAAAAAAACATTAATTAATAATATGTTCTTTCTTAAGCCAAAATTTTAAGTACTAACTCGCTGCAGCAGTTAAATAAGTTTTAGTTTTATATTTAATATTATTATTATTATTACTATCATTATTATTTTGGAAGAACGTTAAGTATGTGAATAATTATTAGTGTATAATAATATATAAGAACAAGAGAAAGAAAGAGAAATCGAAAAAACGTATTGATGTCTGATTACAGTTGATACCAACGCTTATCCTTATTCTTCTGCATTAGTTCCCTTGCGTTGTTAGAAAACTGATCAGCTTCAGTCATCATCTTAGCTGTTCTGTCTTCGAGATTGCTCAGTTTCTCTCCACGTTCTAAAGCTAATTGATGAGCACGTGATATCTCACTAGCTGCCGTACTGGACCGACCAGCAAGTGCATCTAACTGTGCAGATGGTCCTGGTATGTGTCTTGCTACCAATTTGGGTGCTTTACCGCTACTTGACTCTCCAACTGTAACACAATAAACAAATATTAATAAAAACAGTTAATATAAAAAAATTATCAGGATTTTGGATGGAGTTGATAATGCACAAGAAATTTATTAGTACTCTTCCTCACCCCAAAAAATACATTTAGAATATAAAATTATTTTTGCTATTATAGAGATCTATCCGCTATATATCTACCAATGAGGACGCCCTTGTTTTGTAATAACGTTGAATTGTTAATTACTTATTAGATGTTTATTACTAATAAAACTCTATATGAACTACTCGACTTAAGTTAACATTAGCTTATGATTTATAGGAAAAATTAACTAAACATCGAAAAATAAAATATTACTTTTATAATAAATAATAATAATAAAATGTCTAGTGTAGTTGAAAATTCATAATTAAATAACCAAGAGTGTGCTAATAAAAGCGTGTGTTTCATGATATATAACCTATGGTCTATGGGTTACGGTGCAATTTAGAAAGGTTGCAATCTGACGCTTCAAAATAAATCACGATTATATTACTTTTAACGAAATTTATTTACTAAATAGTAGCTTATTTATTATATCTACTTTTTGGTATTGGACGAAGTACAATATAAATTATTTATTCATATAGTTGGGTTATAATTTGAGATGGAAAAAATTCACAATTTTTAGATTTTAAAGGTCATAATTGAGTTTTACATTTGAAAATTTTATATTAAAAATGATTATAAATAAATCGAGTTAAATGAAAAATAAAATTATTTAAAATGAAAACAATGCGTAGAAAATTAATGTCAAAAAGTCAAATCGATGGCCAAATAAAGAAAAAATAAGTCGACTTGATGCATAATTTCGCAAATCACGCTTTAAAAGATTTCGGAAGTAAAGAATCGAAAATCATAAAATCGTAGACTATATGATTGATGAGCATTACAGAATGAAAGGAATGAATCCAAATCAGAAACCTAATGCTTGAACAGAATTAAGGAATAACGATAACATATCCGATTCAATGTAAAGCGTAAACTGTTCTTGATAGAATCAGCCGAAGTGTAAGATTTAGTTTTCAACGTCTTGTAATACAATACATGAACTAATAAACTTCAAGATTCAGAAGGGATAGAGGTTAATATTTGTTTATAATTAAATAAGCCACCGCTAAAATATAATTATAAATGTTTGACTAAATGAAGATTCAATAAGCTGCTGAAAACAAATTACACGCTCAGGCCCCTCTTATGTTCTAATAATCGTATGAGGTACTTTAGCACAATGTTTTGTCTAGAAAAAAAGATTTTCGCTTAGTAAATAAATGCTCACATAGTTCTTCGCGATCAATAGATCTCGATCCTCCACCGAATAGACCAATGAAGAATCCTTGTTTTGGCGGTTCCGGCATTTCGTGTGGTTGGAACAGTTCGCCCATCATTTCCGGCATACTTTGACTGTAAACAAAATCGGTGGGTTAGCCCGAATCATTAAACCTACAAAGTGAAATCGATTAAAAATCATCTTACCAGAATTCAGCGGAAACCGAGAATCTCTGCAATTCCGATGGAGTGTTTAGGAATAGACCATGTCCCCGGTTACTGAAGCAGAATGTCTTGGCGATTCTATTTACAAAAACGTCAATGTTAGAAAAATTATAATAAACTGCGAATAAAATATAAAAATAACTAAAAAAATAACAAAAAATCAATGGCCGTTTTTCACACGCTATACATTTGCCAGCTGTCTATAACGTATAGAAAACGAAACAAATAGTAAACATGTAATACATAATAATAATATAAAAAATATCTACAGACACTATACAGACTAACAGTTTTCATGTACAATTATTTTTGTTTAGGTGACAGTTAATCATAAATCCGTTCGCAGCGGCATTTATACATAAGAACACACTATAACACGTACAACGAGTAGTCGACATATTACAATAATTGCTGAATACGGTGATGAGTGTCGATAATATTATAACATTAATTTATACAATATTTCTCTATATTTCACACAATTATACTGCATGTATTTTCAGGTGGTAGAATTTTTGAATCAGATACTCAGGAGCGCCTCGTTTTTTATATGTACATATATAAATATATATTTGTGCTTTTCTATTACAGGTTTAGATGGTGCGAATAACAAAGTGTCTCCACCTCATATCCAAAAACTCGTACATGTCCAATCCATAGAATGAGCTGTACGAATTTCTGGATGGCGTAAACGTGTGCGATGTATGATTATAGATAGATTAAGGTTTTAGATAGGCACTATAGAAAAACAAACGATAAAACACAGAGGGATTGGACAGACAAATGAAAGAAAAAATTTGTGAGATTTGTGTGAATAAAAGAAATGCGAAGAGCATAGTGGTATTGAAGAGATCGTATTTTTTTCATATTTATAATTATTTTTTGCTCATATTAAATAAACTGTTTGATATAGCTTTGAAAATATGAAAGTTCAAATATTTAAAGTGAAGTGCTGTAAAGACATTTCTTTAAACAATGCAAAAATTAATTAAATAAAAATCATGCATAAAATATATAATGAATAAGAGGAATTTATTAAGCTCAAAAGTAACTGGTGCATCATATGTAAAATCACAAGTTAAATATTTATATGATACAGTAAATTTTGCTAATAGAATAATAGAATATATTTTTTTTATTATATCAAGGACTAAATGAAGAAAAATTAATTTATTTTAATAAAACAACAATAATTTGGGGTTTTTTTTTTTTTTAAGAAAATAAAAATAAAGTATTATGACCGGAGGAGAGTGCTTGAAGTTATTATGTATATTTTACTGAACGATGATGCAACCATAAAGGAGAAGCTACAAGGTAGGTAGGGTAGCGAAATAGGAAGTGTACAAACAGGTAGAAATGAGCAAAGCTAAGTGCGTCATCACGAGGACAAGACGCAGCAGCGCATTCATCAGCAAGGACAAAGCGTTGGCGATGAAAGGGTTGGGTACCATGCCGGGAAAATCACAGCCAGGTCAAGGGAATATATACACAGTATAAAATATAAATTGGAAGATAAACCAAAATCAGAAAGATCTAAGTGCAAGTGTGTGATTGTATGTTTTGTTTAATGTTTTTATTTATAGATACAACTAGGAAATTTAAAATAATTAAAATTCAATTTGGTACAATATATAATGGCGCAACATTGATCATCAAAATGTAATTAAAAGGTTACGTTTATAGGTTTTATCAATATCAGATATTCAATGTAACGTTTTAAGAATTTGTCATTAACAACACCATAAGGAAAATTTAGGAAATAATTCAATAATTGATTGTAATAACCCTTTGATGCATTTGACACTTTTATGATATTATTACTTACAGAAAGTTTTCTAAAATAACTTATTTAGAGAAAAATAATGCTTGAATAAATATTATGATCCTAGTTGTTCCTATACGTATGGTATCTAGTAGAGCTGATAGATTCGAGATTGTAACTTTGAACAACTCTAAAGTTATAAGTTAATGGATTACTTTTAAGTTCGATTTAACGGATTTGGGACAGAGATAAGTCAACATTCGACTAAAAACTTTTGGCCAGATGTCTTCAAATGGCGGGTGAAATAAATTTAATAACTATACCCGGATGAATTTTCACTCAAAAAATATAGGCAATATTTAAAGAAGATACACATAAAATATTTTAATAACATTTGTTACATGAATGACAACGGTAGGAATTCTTAAATGTCATTAGATAATAGCCTAATAGCGGAAAAATATTAAGATAAAATAACAACAGTATCCGTCGCTTTGGCTTTTTTTAGTACAATATAATAGAGGAACAATGTAAATATAATGGATTGAAAATAAAAGGGCAGCTTCGCAGTATGGTAACGAAGGCCGTCAGGTGTTTGTGTTCCAACTTAATACTCAGAAAAGCGTTAGGTTTTTCATTTTTAAATTATTGCATGCTATTATGTTTTTGTTTATGGCTATAAAACGTATTAACTTTAACTTTGTTTTTTGTTACAACCCCAATAAAAATATAATTTAATAAATTTTCGAGTCCACACTGTTAATAAACGCAATAGAAGCGACACGATATATATATATTGAATGTAAGCGGAAACGCCTTCTAATTATCTTAGTAAATATTAGACTGCGTTCCTAAAATTCGCATTTCTAGGGAAAATTAAAAAAAAAATCGATCAGCTCTTTGATGTTTGTGTGTTTTGGGAGTGTCGTGTGATTATGAATGTTTGTAAATTGTGTGGCGTTCCTCTGATTTTCACGACTTACTGGTCAGTGTCTTCATTGACAAACATCTGTTGGCCCCATATGGATAACATTGGGTCAACTATGCCCTGTTTCTGGGTCTGAAAACTGGCCACAATACAAACCATAGAAACAATAATAACTAATCAACATCTTTCTCACCGATAATTTCCCATAATTTATTTTTCATAATAAAACATTTTTATACAACTAGATGATAATATTATAGCTAATAATAACAACAATAAAAGCAAGCCGACCAGCGGTCGTTAAAAATACGAGATTAAACGACGGAGGGTCGTAGAATTTTCAGAGTCGTTTCAATTTGATCACGTAGGGTTATTATTTAGTTTGCAGCGACATTTTAAGTAAGATTATATAAATATGGACGACGCGAAAACATCAGTGGATACTCAACTGATTCACAACGGAGTGTTTTACTTGGATTTCTTAATGCTTGTTAATTTTCTAGAGCACATATAAGTTTATTACATTATGTTTCACAGCGAGTATTTGTTTAGCGGTTGTCGGAAGTATTTTATAGTTTGATAAACATTATGTTCACACAAATTAGCACTCCAACCCGTGTAATCAAATACAGCCGAGTTCCGAGAGTAATCCAATTGACCTACATACGCATGAACATTGTACACAATCATATGTGTCCGTCGACTTTCGCATACGCACTACGGTGGCGGTTTTCGTACCACAGAAAATCCAAGAAAATCGGATGCACAGAAAATATCTGTATCAGTCGATATTATTTCCGGTCGGTGCGCGAACAAACTCGGATGTTATCAGCTATGCACTTGCCCGTATGTTGGTCGAGTGCGAAACAAATGGGGTCGTTTTCGTCGCGGTTGACTTGGCCGTTAGCCACATTTGTGTCAACCCAACGTAAAATACCAAAAGAAAAAACCGAAATCGATCGGTATAATTTTTTTCGCTTCGATTCTCCAAGTTTTACACGCTCGGACGCTGACGGGATACACTGTAATAACATTATCACGATCAATTATTTTCGTTAAAGGTAAACGGTTTTCTCCCTTTTTTCTAAATCTACAGAATTATCGGCAGGGCTTATTTACGATCGGTTAATATTCCATAGAAACTTTAAATAATTATAATTCTTTGTTTTTACACTTGTACGCGTTTGAAATACTGCGTAAATGATAATTCGTAATTGTTATTAATTCATCAATAGTAATGATGACGATAAAGAATATCAACAATTTTGATGTATACCTTAGGTCGGAGAGCGCTAAAAAGTCGATGTCCATTAGCGGCCTCAAACTTGGCAAACTCAATACGTTGATGTGACCATTAGATATGTAACACGCCAGACACACACTATCTGTAAATATATATTCAACTGAATATTAGGTATTGATAAAAAGTGAAATTAAATTCAAAAATGTTATGGGATATAAACTGTTACATTTAAATCCGCCGCATTAAAATCATAATCCGTCACGTTTTATGTACTGTTATTTAAGCACACAAAAAACAAATAGTAAATTGTAAATACGGACAATTTTCATTTATTTTTTAAATATTAATAAACTTCCCCCGAGAGCACTTATTTTTCTGCCTTAAAAGAAATTTAATACCTCTTTACCATCATTGTTATTTCTGCTAAACGCTGAACGCGTTAATACGTGCAAAGAGTTGATTAAAATAAAGAATACGGTTTGAAAACTAAATGATGATTAAACAAAAGTACGAATACTGTCGAAAAAACGAGATGATGGCGAGCAAGATTATTATAAAAAGTAACAAAGGAGAAGCATTTGGAAAGTCGGCAGCAATGAAAATTAATGCTAAAAGCTTTCAAATTTGTCACTGTTATTATTCATAAAAATATAATCTCTTTAATGAGTTATCTATATTAAGAGTGTTTTCCTGGTGCCGCCTCAAAGAGTAATTCACGTCTCGTCAATTTATAATAACCTGGTTGAATGTCAATTACCATTACTCATAAGCAATAGAGAGAACTGTCGGAAATTAAGTGCGTTTACCTTTGACGGATATCACTTCGGATTTAACTACAAAATCTGCATCGGATATTTGATGTTTATAGACACAGTTCTGCGAAGGCAGGGCCACCACTCGAGCTTGTTTTTCACTGACTATGGTGACAAACTGTCTATCGCATGACATCTGAGATTGTTGTAGTTGTGGCACATTGGAACTGGACCCGCCGGGGTTGCTAGACACACTTTCTGAACTACCAGTTAAAGCTGGCGACATACGGTTGAGACCACTAGTATTTTTAGTTGGCGTTTCTGATGAGAAAACAAAAATAAAATAATTAAAAACAATACAAGTGCTATAAATTTTATAAACACAATGAACTCTTCAGAGTATTGTTAAAAAAAAAACATTACGGTGGCCCGGTAGTTATTTATTATTTTCATTGTTTACTTTGTTTGTCTCGGCCTTCGTCTCTCCACGCTTCGTACGCGTAAGGTATCAAAGCTCCGTTGCAGTCCAGGAACGACATAGTAAGTACTCCACCTTTCAGTCTGAAAACTGTGCCTATACGCCAAAATAAAAACAAAAGAGTAAAACACATTAATAGAATCAAGTTTTAACATATGAGTTTATGCAAATAAAAAAGTTGAAAAATTTATCCGCGTTACGATAATACATACATAATATTTCGTTTTTTTTTTTAACTCGAGGTGTTGACTAATTGGTGTAATACATAAAAATTACAATATTATATCTAAGTATAAAGATCACGTACTTGGTAGGAAAAAGTAGTGTCCAGCACTTGATTCTATAATGTTACGTGTCAATAGTATCGCTTTATTAACCAAATTGGGAAAGTTAAAATTTAAGATGACTTTTTTCCATGTAATTTGGACACATTGAAATTAAAACATCAACCAAAAATTGATTGGGTCAATACACGCGGAGACAGTAATGTACTACTGTGGAACGGAATGAATCTTGTAAGGACACTGTGTGGCGTTTAAAGATCAAGTTAATGGCTAACGATAAGTTTAAAGATCCAAGTACTATAGTATCCCATAGGTCTATCGACAGGACAACCGAGTGCGACTATTATCACTTCTGATGGTAGCTATCAAGAAAGTCGAAAACACCTCTTGAATTCCTAGTGCAGTAATTTAATTTTAGACTGGGTAGACATTACACAAGACCTTTGTCACTACCACAGTCTATATCAGTTTTAAAGAAAATCGTACACACCTCTTGAATCTTTACAACTACTGTATTTATTTATATTTTTGCCAACTTCAGCATTACACAGTCCGCATCAGTAAATAATAATATCTAAACCAGCTATTTCTGTGTAAAATTCTAAATCCCTTTCAATACTTTCTTAAAATTCATCTATATAATAAAATGAAAGTCTGTGCACGTAAAACAATACTATTAGGACTAAGTATTTGACTAGATATAAAATCAATGAAAAATTAAATATTTATTAGAAACATTTTAGTAAACAATACAAAAATTATTTTTTATTTTTTATTCTTAATTATATTAATAAAACTATGATCAATATTTGACAATTCGTATTATATAAAGCTTAAATTTAAAACTATAAATAACGTGACCTTTATGGCAAATATTGATTTCTATTAGTAATGCAACTATTATTTTCACCGAACTTGAAATAATAAGGTTGGATCGAAACTTAATAAGAAATGTGAACTCTAATATTATTTAATAAAAATAAAGTTTCCTATTTAGATAATCGAATGAAAGTGTAAGTACAGTATTTAGTTGTAACATTTTTAAATAAAATTTAATATTAAAAACAAATACCCGGCTAAGATAAAACTTAACTAATTTCTGTCATTAAATTTTTATCATAAATTTAATAACGATTAACTTTAATAAAACGAGTATCCAGATTTTAGTTTTATTCGATGAATGTTCTTCAAAAAATACAACTTATAAGTTGATCATAGTTAACAGATTTATATTTTGGTGAAATAACAATTATAATTGTTTTCTCAAATTAAATCTCACTTAAATAATTTGAATAGAGATAGAAATTTTCCAAAAACTCTAGTACATAATTTAACTAAATTAAAATTGTGCGTTATAAACAATTTTCATCTATTCACCGCGTAAAAATATCAGACACAGTAAAAATGTATTCGATAAAGAAACCTTTATAAAAACCTTATAAGAAACTTAAAAAATAGAAAAATACTTTACATCGTATATTTATACCTATTATTTCAAAATAAAACGTAAAACTTATTAAAAAAAAAGACTTAAATATTTATAAAAAAAATATAAGAACTTATATAGTTTAAATGCTAATTATTTTCCAAGGTAAAACTTCCACGTACATATTTTAGAGATTAAAAATATTATAAAAAAGTTATAACGGAAATAGAACACGTTGACCTAAATGATTACACGTTCAACTGAAAAAAGTTTGAGTACGTTTTCGCCATTAACGAAAAAAAATGTTTGGTATTTGTGCGACAGAGAAGTAATTTCGTACCAAACAAAAAATACTAATACACACACATATATACATTTATATATATATATATATACTAACCACAAGGTGCGACGGTTACGAGTTGCGTAGTTCTGGGCTCTCCGGAGGGGGGTAAACTGATCATTATGGTGAGTACCGAACCCACACTGGTACCTATCCAAAGGGTAGGGAAGGTAGACGGATCTAAAAAAACAAAGTAAAAGTCAGAAAAAAAGTTTACTCAAGAAAAAGAATGAGATAGAGTAGAATAGAATAAAAAATATAAGACGGAAATAAATGGATGAGTGATAAAATGAGGTTTTATGGAGTAAAAAATAAATCGAAAAACTCATTAGATACCGGATTTCTTCGTGTAAGAATCACCGAACGTCAAACATTGTATTGACTCCGTGGTAATATTATCTAAACTTGACATGCTTGAACTTCTAGATCTAGAGAATGTGCTGTCCAACTTGTCTGAAAATGCGGGACGAACATAAAAAAAAAACAATTGTAAGTATATAGATAAAGTAACATTATTATAAAATAGAATAAAGTGATGATTTTTAAAAAATTGATGTAATTGAAGTGTTAATTATAATGTCAGTTAGAATAGAATGAACAAGAGATAAGTAACGTGCGAGATTAAAATTATACATAAAAAAAATGACATTCGGCTCGTGCATAGAAAAAGAGGTATAGCAGCAGTATGATTAATAAAGCATTAATATATATGCATAAATAATGCAGTAAGCAGTAAAGAAGTAAAATGCGGCGAAAAAGGTGTACATGCATTCCAAGCATTATATACAATATGTGTCGGTTACAGTATTATACAAACATTTTTTTGTACATTTAATGTAATGTGAGAATAAACCGAAAAATATCGATTTTTATTATTATCTCATTCTTTTTTTTATTTATATATTGAAGGAAAATGTCATATGGGAATACAAACTTTAACCCTCCGATCATTTTACAACAATATTGAGTTATGAAATATTTTAAATATTTGCCGTACAGTCGATAAAGATAAAACATGTAACTCTGTTAGCTGGATATTACAAATGAATAAAATCATTTATCAACAATTAGTATTCATCAAACGTCATGAACATCTGTAAGCGATCAGTTTCATTATTGTATTTAAATGGCGAAAAAGTCTTTAACAAGTACATTGTATAAATACTAGGAGTACACACATACACACATATGAATATTAAGTCTACGATGACAGACACAAACACAATAAAGAAGTATAGGTTGAATATTTATAACGAGAATATGTGGTCGGCTAAGAGTGACGACAGTAATAATGATGTTGATGATAATGATGTAATAATGATATTGAAAGTATGGATTTAGGTGTAAGTAAGCAGATTAGTGAGTACAATCATGTTGTAGTAGAAGAAAGATAACAATAGTTTTGTGATCACACGCTAGTTTGTACTAGAAACAGTGAAATTAATGGTAACAGCACAACTTTGGTATGTAGAAGTTTTGGTAGGTACATATCACCATATTTTCTAGAAACTATCCTAAATGTTCTTACGTATTTTAATAGAATATTATTAAAATAAATGGTTATAAAACACAAATGCGCCAATATTTTAGAGAATTAAGGTAAATGTAATTTGAAAATAAATATTTAATTCACATAAAAAGGTGAGCATAACACATAATGTTATTTAAAAAGATAAAAAATTTTACAACTCTAGAAAAAAATTAATTTTTTAGGAGAGCGAAACAATAAGACATATGTCATTTACAAGGAGTGAATAAATATAAAACGTATCGTTTTTCGTGTATTCATTTAAATAACGATGAAAACAATTTGAATTAACGCAAAGGTAATAAGTATTAAGTTAGCATAAATATGTTCAATACAAAAAATTAAGTCATTAAGTACGTTAAAAATGTATTTAACTGCCAGGAATCGAAGTACTTTTATACATCAAAATATATTGTAGGTCGTTATATAAGTTTTATGGGTAATTTAAGATGCTCGAAAATCCTAACCACTTATTTTATCCCACAACAATGGTAAGCAAAATGTCATCTTTAAAGGGTACTAGATATTGATATGTGCTGTTGAATTTGACGACCAATTAAATTCATTAATTATTAACGTTTAACTGAAATAAGCTTTCAAAGCATTCGTGAATTTAAAAGCAGAATCCAGCCGTATAGAGTTTGAAAGAAACAGCCTATTTCAATTAACCTAATTCGATGAAAGCACTTTATCCAAAAATATATATTTTTTTTATTTCTGTTATATTGTATTTAGAGATATTAAAGTAAATATTTAAAATATATTGCTATTCTATTTCCGTTTATAATTCACGTCAAAATTTAATTATACAAAAATGATAGTGTATTATGAAGTTTTTATTTGTAATTTTATCAATTTAAAAATATATAAAATGAAAATTATGTGTAATATACATGTACAGTTGACCTATCCAAACGTATTAAGAGCAGATTACTTAATAAAAGAAGATAATGTATATTCACTATATGGTTACCTATGTATTCATAAATATAGCGAAATAAGTGAGTAAATTGGTTATAAACTTTAACGATGTTTATGATGTTAGCTAAACTGAGTAGATTATAATTATTATGTACTTATTGTGAACTCAATTGATATGGAAATTAATACACGTGTAGAATTTATACTTGTGCTCATAGAGGCCTGAAATGAAATGATGACTCACTTATGTAAAGTTTGTTGGTAATGTTAAAATCAGAAGAACTCACGTTTAACTAGATAAACTGCCCAGAAGTTTGATCATTATTTTGGCCAACAGTCAGACGTCATTCGATTAAAAATCATTATTTCAATAGTCTATTTAAGTTTGGAAATATACATCACATAATACAATTTGTTACGAGAGAACGGTATACGTTTTAACATATATCGAGAACCTATTTTAATATAATTGCAATTACAGAAATCCTATCGCAAAAAATAATTGTTACAATGGGTACTTGAAAGTACATGTTGGTAAACTAATAAAAAGTTTTTAAGTGATGTTTAGAGAAAACTGTTTTTTTTTTTTGTAAAAAGTACTTGAGTTTATTTTTTTTGTTGGTAAAACATGGCTCTGAATATGCCATAGAGTAATTACTATTAAGATAACTCACGTTAGTCCTACATTGAGTTTGCGATTAATAGATACGTCGTATTAACAAGGACAAATTTATGTTTACAGTAATATTTTGTCAATAAATATATTATTTAATAATTTGTACATTAGTAATCCTATAAATTAACGCAATATAAACGCAGTTTATACAACATGTACTCATTTCTAAAATGTACCGATACCCACACTATAGACGTGTTTTTATTTTGGTGAAAATGAAACAATAAAAAATGTATACAAAAATAATGCTATGAAAGAAAAAAATAATACTAATATGACAAAATTCAAAAAAAAAAAAAATAATAATAATAAAATATTGAGACAATGCGTAACAAATCAGGTGTATATATGATATGAAGAAGTAAAAATATGTAGTGGATAAAATATTTAGTGAAAGATAACATATTACAAAACACAAATCATAAGTGATATTGGTTGGGGTACAAGTAGTGATACTTAAAAAAAATACCAAAAAAGGTAAAATTAGCTATTGATTTCTGAAAAAAAAAAAATTGAAGTTTCAAAAATGACTGTTTGGAAGATATTTTTAGAAGTATATTTATAGGCGAATTGTACTACCAAAACTGCAATACTGTCTGGTGGCAAGTAGGTTGTGTTTGTCGACTGCCGTATACAGCGACCGCGGGTTAGCCACGGCAAGGCCGTCGTCCGAATAAGACACGGTGCTCAAGCACTTCTGCAGCTTGTTGCGTTGGCCACCCTGCGAACGGGACCGCCTCACTGGCTCCGTGGTACGACCGCTGCCGACGCCGCACCTAGCACCACCGTATCCGACACCACCGACGCTGCCGCTGCCGATATTGCCTCCACCGACGCCACCGTACACCAACGTGGAAGGACCAAACGAAAAATGACTGGTGGACGACGTTTTGGTAACGAAAGTCGGAGACAGGCACATGCCATTAATCTGAACCAATGTTTTTTTATGTTGTTTTTCTTTATATCACAATATTAAAGACTATAGGTAAAATCCCTACTGCTTTGTGCGTTAAAAATGTTCACTAGTTCAAGAACTCTGGTTTAATAGTACATGGCGTAAAAAGTAATGAAATTCGACACACTTAAAAGTTTATAAACCCAAATAGAATGTTGAAAAATAATGTAAAAAGAACATTTTTATCACTTCAATATCACATTATGTATAATAATAACGTTTAAAAAAACATCGTAATAAAATTATTTGAAAAAATGCTATCTGGAAAATAACATTAATCCGTTAGTTAATACATAGATAATTGAAAATTTTGATTTATGTTGGTAGATGGTATTGAAAATTTATTAATTTCACTCTAAATTAAATACGTATAATAAAACTCGTTGGTCGGTTTCACCTACAAATCCCATGGGTATGCCTGTATTGTATTCCAACTATGTTGTGGCGAGAAGAGGTATAGTAAATTACTCAGTCTCAATAGTCATCATCAATCGTCGTTTTATCCACAAAACATTAATACTAATACAATGTATCAGTTTTAACTGAGAGATAATTGGCCATCAGACATTATTATTAATTTTCGCATGATTTAATCAGTTTAATCATTTCATTAAAATGTTCTGTAAGTTACAGCTAAGAAAAAGTTAAAGTTTTTGTTACAAATCTATTGATCAACTGACGGCATCGCATGTTTTAAGATTCTTCATTAAAGTGTTTTGTTATAATTTATTCAATGTTTCTTATGGTTGTTCTTGTTTAAATTAGTAAGAGTGTCATATCTTTAACGCAATGCACACGACTCCAAAATATATGCTAATACATTAATCATTTTTAAAAATATTATCTAAATCATAAGTTTATAAATGCTTAAAATGATTGCTATTTTGTTTATAAATATTTAAATGGTTATTAAAATTATAAGAAATATATATCTAACATAGTATTTTAAAATGTTATTTAAATAAACATATTTTCTTTTTAAATTTTTTTATTAACTTTTTAGATAGTACCTTTAATTTCATAGACAATATTCAACACAATTTTATTAAAATGTAAAACTGTAAATCTAAAAAAATGTTTATATTTTAATAAAATGAAAACAAATTTCATCTCTGATGTTGTAGAAGATAAGTAATTTGAGGTTACGTTATTTTTTGACAGCAGGATGAATATTTATGTTGACATTAGTGATAATTTAATATATAGTCGAAAACTATTTTTCACATTTTCATGTTAAAATAACTTTTGTTTTCACCAACTTGGTTTGAGAGAAACTAGCAAGGAGTTTTTACTTAAACTCTATAGCGCAATGGTGTTCATTATTCATAACTCTATTTCAACTTTTTGTCTGTTGAGTGGATACTATTTATCGTCTGTTCTTAAGCACAGTTTATGTAACTACTGTTTTGTAAAATGAAAAAAAAAAGTAATAGGATGTCCTAAACCGATCGCAATCTGAATTGTTATTCAAGGAATTTTGGAAACATATTTACACAAATGAATTCAAGCTTTCAGACAAATACAGTTATATCGTATTGTCTTTTTTAAATAATCCAACTCAGCTTATATAATATACATTTTCTTCAGTGTTATCAGGCAAATTTGAACAAATAAAATAAAAGTAGCTTTACGATTTGTGTGGTTAGCAAACATTTATTAAACTAAATTTCTGAACTCTATTAATTTTTAAGCGATCAAATTATACAGCGTGTGGACAAAATGCTTCGTTAATAGTCAGAACAGCGTTCAGAAATTCATGTAATAAAGTGATATTTACACGGGTTAATATAATTATTTTAAATGTTATACTATTGAGATACACAAATAGTTATATTTATAGTTAAAGCTAACCAACAAATAGTTAATGACACAAAAAATGTCCATAACCCATGCGATTAATAATAATACATAAAAAAATTGTCATTATGTAGTGTAATCATGAATGCATTTAACGTATTAACGACAAATTTTATTAATAAACTTTGTTAGTGGTAAAAAATAAAACTTGTTAAAGAAAAACAATTTCGTGAATAAAACACAACATTAAAAATAATTAAAAACGACATGAAATTTTAAATGTATATATACCAAGTTTATGGTCGGGGCAGCTCTCTCGCATCTCATTAATTTCCTTGAAACATTTACAGAGCACAATAATGTTATTTACAATGATAACTACTTAGATATAGATAAATATAATTGTTTATATAATTTGTTTAGAATGATTAAACATGTATTATGACTCGTTAAGTAATATTGTTTGTGAATCCATAATTTTAAGACAATCGATCATTTATTGTAAAACAAAATAATATACATAATAAAATTTAACTTTGAACACATCACACAGTAACATTTATCATTTTAAAACAAAAAATATTTTTTTGCAATTAACTCTTAATTTTGTAATAATTTATATGGAATAATAATATTTGATAATAAAACAAAAATAAAAATAGGGTATAATACATTTAGTACACCATGTCACACAAAATAGACATCCATCTATACCTGTTAATAAATAAATATTCTAGAAATAATACCTACAAAAAAAACACATATAGAATATTATATATTTATATACATTTATGTCAACATTTTAACCAAATTTCATGTTTTAAAGAGACACATCATTTTTCATGTTTCAATAGAGGGTTAAATTACTAAACTCATTTAAGTATTAATTATAAGCCCACAAAAACATCAACATCAATACTATCATATTTCACGGTATTTTACAGTAAACTAACCAACGATAGATATTTCTATCAAATGTTATATTGAACAGCAATTAATTGTTTGTATTTTATAATAATAAATCTAATAAAAAAACTTATTTAATAATTATTAAATAAGTTATAATAAAGTGTAATCTATAGTTAACATGGAAATTCATCATTTTTAATCTAGTTAATTTTATTGTTTAAAAAGCATAAAATTTTTACTAAGTAACTATAATTTGTCTAATCATTTTAAACTATCATTTTTTTTAAATAATAAAAACAAAAATTCTTCCACTAATGAACTCTACTCAATATCTATAATAAAATATAATCAGTATAATTAAAAACGTAAAAAATCATATTGTAAATTTAATAGGACAATTACAAGCTAATCAGGCTTTATTTATTACAATTTTTTAGAATACTGCAGGCCATCATAAAAAGATCAATGAAATAACAAAAATAAATAAATAATATTAAACACTAGGACTAAATAATACAAAATATTTGCAATAAATTCTCAATAGAATAAAAAATATTTCTGGGTACACTTGTGAATTAACTACTATTTATGCTACATAAAATTGTACATAAAAATTAGTACTACTAGGATTTTCAACCGAGTTCAATAAAATCTATACCACCAAATATAAATAGTTACTTAAAAACCATATTATATACAATTCAATTATATTATTTAATTTTTCTCTATTTAAAAACTAAATTGTTTATGTAAGAATTAGTGTAAATTATGTATCTTTTTGCAGTTTCATTTAGATTTGATATTATTCATGAATCAAGAGTTTAGGATTTCCCAACCGCTTTTACATTTTTCATTAATAATATGTGTGATATAATAGTGATTAGTTTATTATTAATCAGTCAATTATTCATAAAATAAATACAATCTTAAAAATAGATATTTTGATTTTTTTTAGATATAAATTTATATTTATATTATGAAAATATTTCTTAATTTATCAGTTATTAATTAAATTTTTGCATTTTCCTTTATAACTTATAGCGATGTTAACTTTATTTTTTTAATAGAAACATACATATTTATCTACATTATAAAATGGAAAATTATCTAATTAAGAAAATGACGAGTCGATTAAGTCTTCTACATTAGTACTTCAAAAGTTAAAACGATTTTAAAATGTAGATATGGAAAAAGGCGTGGGTATGATTATTTCTTTAGATATTTCTTGGTTGCATTACTCCTTTCGAAAAGTACAAAAATGTTTTTAATTAAAATTTCTCTAATTAATAAGCCAATTAAATATGTAAAAATTAATTTTGTACTCCTATAACACAGTTTCACAAAAAAAAAAAATCGAAAGGAAAGTGCTAGTAAACAGACCATGTTTTTACCAGGCTTTATTACAAGCGCATAGTAGATTTAGGTTACAAATTAGCCTGTTTTACTTCCTAATAAATAACTTGGTTCTTAATCACATTTTTTGAAATTATGAAAAACCCAAACATGATGGCATCAAACAAACCTTAGACTTGGATTCAGCGACCCCAAATATATAAAGTAAACATGGTTTGATTACCAACTTTTTTCTTTCGATTTTTTTTTTTTGTGGAGCTGTATAAGTTATAGGATTGATTATAAAAAATCATTAATGACTAATAAATCAAGAAATATATTTAACTGAAAAAAAATCAATGTATTTTTTTCCTATATTGTATTTATTTTAACAGTAATTGATTGAGTTATGATAAACGAATCAACCTGTATACATTTGTTTTGATGCCAAATCTCAGGAACAAGAGTTCAATTTTTTAATTAATGATTTGGCTAATATTTTTATTAGAATATTAATTTGAATGCTAAATAGTTAAACTGAAACATGGTTATTTTGACAATAAAAAAATTATTTTAGCAAACCAACGTTTATCAGCGAATTATTGGAAAATTTTTGAGCCAATGAATTATACAGTGTTAATATACGTGTTTTGTATATTAAGTAAAGTTATTTTGATAATATAGTTAGTTTAAATACATCTATAATTGTACATCAATTAACATCTTATTGTATGTTTTTTTTTAAATACTTGTATAAGTTATTTTTATTATTAACCAGGATATTTAACCACTCAGCCATTCCACAGCCGTACATAAAATTACAATATATCTATCAACCATTTTATTACATTAATTATAAATTAAAAACAAAATAACATGCAAATTCCTGTAAAATTCCACCTGGATTTAGTTTATCACTTATAGATGCATTACATCAGTATTATACTTTGATATAAACAGGTTATACTTAAACAAATGTGTTAATAATGAGTTATGTATGTTTTATTAATTTTAAATCATCTTTGTTACAAATTTAATTGTTAATAATGATTAAATTTGGTTTGTATCGAGAGACGACGATAAATTTAGGCAACGAGAACAATACTAATCAATCATGGATATAATTTTTAATGCCCATAATTTTAAAATAACCGGCGTCTCCACGATAAAACTATTTTATATATTATTTACTGTGATATTATTAGATGTGTCATGTGTTATGGTCTCATTTGGACAGTTATAATCAATGACTTACTTAATTTTTTCATGAGGTTGATGAAGGCTTGGTTGTTGGATCGGTTATGTCTCAAATCTTTATGGCTGTACTTGATATTTGGCACAGATAACAGTCGGGAATCTCTGGCAGCAGAAGTAGAGGTAACGAGCGTTTGTTTATCAAGGGACGTTCGCTTTTTATGATCTTTAGAAGATCGTGGTGGTTTAATTGGTTTACCTTCCCGGTCGAATAATTTCAATTCTGTTGGTCTAGTAACTGTCGAGGAAGCTAAATCTGTCACCATTGACACTTGTCCGACTCCATCTTTTTGCTGTAGCTCGTGAGCCTCAGTTTCAGTTATTATTTGAGGAACTGTACCAGTTCCACCATCATCAGTTGTGTCTGTCTGATCACTCCCCGGACCAGTTGTATAAAAGGTTGACGCTTTTTTGCCAGATATAGTAGTAGTATTAAAAGTGTTCTTAAGTTTAAGGTCTACTCGGCTAAGCTGCTTTTTTAGTCCACGCCACGAATGACTGGCTCGACGACCGTTACCTTTGGCCACAGTCACAGGTTGAGTAACTGCAGGTTCTTCAGATACTATCACCGCCGCTTCCCCATCTAATTGTTCTTGAGGTGCCGGTATAAGTACTAAAGCTTCTTCCGCTTTTTCCATCGAATCGTCAGGACAATCAGATGGATTCGGCGATACTTGGGTTGAATACACGCCTACCGGACTCAGTGCTAATTTACTTAATTCTTCCAGTTCTTCCACTTCGTCTTCTAGACCCTTGAAACGCGAAACTTTCAAACAACTGTACCCCGACCACATATTAAGACAGTGGTTGGGTTATACAGACAATGGCCTAGTACTTAGATCAAACTAACAATATCGTGTAATCATAATAAGATAAAAGAACTACCAAAAATTTTCCAATTCACAAACGATCGATTTTACGTCTTACATCTAAATTTGTTCTAGAAAATCTAATAAAATGTTTTGTGTGTAAGAGTGATAAAATATAGTAAAGTAAATTTTCCTTTAAATATTTACTTCTTAGCATAATAATTAAAAATATTTCCTCTAGGTAAATCTTTTAAATATACTGCACCATTAACAAATATAAAAAGTAACACTTTTGAAATTTATAAGACACTAGAGTACGCTTTAGTATATTACAGTTCCATAGTGCTAATACTAAAACATTTATAATCTGTCTTTACATGAAAAATAATACAAAATATGATGATAGAAATAAGAAAATATTCTAAGTGGTTTAAATTAGCTGAGTCTAAACGGACGAGAGTCTATGAGTACCATTATTAATAGAATAAGGATAAGTTAATTTATACTTTTTAAAATTTAAAGATCATAAAAAAAATAAACATTTAATAGCGGACCCCCTAATTTTGCTCTGTCTTTTTTAAGTACCTTTATTTAAATAGACCTTGTCTTTCTCATGACGTAGTAAATTTATTTAAAATAAATTGTATTTGTCAGATAACCTTTTTATTCATAATTGAGTTAGTCATTATTAAAATATCAGTATCGAGGTAGTTTATGTCGTATAGTTTATCAAAATTTAGTCGGACAATAAAACGTCGGATTTATTTATATCGAATAATAAACAATATGGATCTTATCAATATCTTTAATAGGTCCCATAGGCCGTTTTAGTTTATGAACAAACATTGTATCCACGCCCTCGAGCAAAATTAATTTATATAAAATTAAATACACGAATATCAAAAATTTTCAATCATAATAATTGACAGTTATGACGCTAATGATGACGGATTAAAAAATCAAAAAATAAGAGAATAAAACTGTGTGTTGTGTTCATTATATTAAAAAAAAAACCAAGGAAAATAAAGTCCGAACACATACAAGTATACAGAGTAACTAAATTATGTCATAAGTTGAAATTTAATACAGAAAATTATTAAACGATTCTATAAAGAAATATCCTGTGTCTCCAATCAAAAAGAAGGGCCAAAAATGTAAGAAACTTTTTTGAAAAACTTTTTTATCTTTCAGTGTAAAGTTACTTAGAATAAAGTTGTCAAGATTTTATTTTTGTTAGTATTATTGATCACACTTTTTACTGAATATAGTTAAAAGAACCTTTTTCGATATTATTTGAACTAATGTAAAAACTAATTATAAAAAAATTATACTGCGTAATTAAATTTTAACTGGATTTTTATTGAATAAAATAACAAAAAGTAAAAAGTAATTAAAAATAAAATATTGTTTTTAATTAGTATGTGGAATCTACATCATTCATAATATTGTCTTCGTGTAGTAAAAATAAATTGTATAAGTAAAAAATGAATTTTTCTACAAGAAACTCATAGTTTACGTGAAGCAATTTTTTTCAAAGATTTAACTTCGATATGAAACTTAGAAGCTATGAATTTTACTATGATACATTTTTTCACTGTACTTTAATTTTAATGAATGTCTGCCAACTAAAATACCCTGTATACTTTAATATGTGCATTTTATTTTTTAGTGTAAAATTAAAATTATGTATATGAAGTTGACCAACTTTATTCTTATTTATTATTTTTTTATTTTTATGAATTGGATTAATTTAAAAATAAACATAAAAAAAATTTACTTAAGTTTTTTGTTGAAAAATTCACTCTTAGCTACTCACTTGACATATTTATACAAAAATACTTTTTTTTTAGTTTATTAGGAACTATTTATTTAAATAATTATTTATTATAATTTTATAAACGACTTGAATTATATTTTATACTCACAAAAAAAAAACTAATTAAAAATATTAATATACAAAAAAAATTAAAAAGTAACTTGGCCAACTTCATAAATATCAAGAGTTCTCTAATAAATAAAAAAAATATATATCTCAACATTTCAGTTTCTCATTTTCATAATAATGAATACATATAACTAATTATTTATATTCCTTACTCGGATTTGTAGACCAAACGATTTCTGTGCGGTAATATTATCAATACAAATTTTCTTTTTAAAATGTGCATAGAAAACCGTTATTTTTATTATATAAATAATTATTTTTCGTGTAAAAATTAAATAAGAAAATGTATATTACCTGGTCAATGCTAGGAGATCTACACCGTTCACCGTCACTAGTCTCACTTAATGCTGTAGTTCTTTTTGGTGACCTCGGAGCTCTTTGGTAAGGATCTGCGCTACCATATAAATCGGCAGTACTTATGTTTAAGAGAACACATTTTTGTATAAAGTCTACTATCACAATACCATTATCCAGACCATAGGCCAACCTAAAAATAAAAAAACATTTAGGAAAATGCAGTAGCAACATAATATATAAATGTTTTACATAAAATGTATTCCTTGGTAAATTAAAAGTCACGAAAAAAATCCTACTTTATAGAATTTTTCTGGTAGTTTTCACACAAAGAGTAATGAATTTAACTACTGATAAAGTTTTAAGTCGTTAAAATTATACTATTTTACTATAAAGAGTACCATATACAAGATTTATAAATTTATATCAAAGTTAAACAGAAAATCTTTAATTTAAAACTAATTCCTTGGAATTTATAACTGGAAAAATATAAAAATGTAAATCTGAGCGTTCTAAAAAAAATATGTTTTATAAGCTAGTTATTTGTTTTTCTGAAAGACGCATTTAAATTTATATTGGCAAGTCTTATTATGATGAAAAATAATTCTTATAATTTTTCGTAAAAATTTAAAATTGATAACTGAATGTATGTATTTAACTATTACTTATATACTTACAGTCCATATGAGGAATTAATAGTTAATGCAGTTATTTGTCCGGGTGGTTCTCCGTTCACCGAAGGAGTAACACACGCAAGACAAGCTTGAAAACCTGGTGGCTTTTTCTGAGGACCTACTCTTACTTTAACTGGTAAAGTACTTTCATCAGAAGTAATATTTTTAGAAGGTATTTCATCTGGAGAACTCTCCCCCGCTTCGTCCAAACTTTCAGAGTATATCGGTATTTCTAATGTCTGAAAATTGACAAATATTTTAATAAAACTTTTTTATAATAATATAATTTTAAAGTTTAAAGTTTATTATTAATTGTCTTCAAAACCATGGATTTAAACAACTAATTTATATTTAGGTAATGATTTATTTTCAAAAATGTATTATTAAAATAAATTTAAATTTGATTAAAAGCCATAAAATCATCAATTCATAAGATATTAATTAATTTCCTTTTTTTTTAATAAAAAATTAACAAAAGGAATGAAAGCAAAAAAGTAAAATGTTTAATAACTACAAAGTATAAATAATAGATTCTAACAAGATTCAAAGTAATCATTGAAATTGATTGTACGTACGTTCAATTAAAATAAATGTAGCAAACTTGCAAAAGCAATATTTAAGCTGATTCGCGACGCATTTAAATTAGACCTATTTCCCATAAAAATTTACTAACGAATAATTTTTGCATCAAAATAAATTTAATTTAAATAGACTACAAAGATAGATTGACCATTTACTGTAAAAAGAAATTCAAGGAAATTAAATTAAATCAAATAATACATTTGTAAAAAAATAGTGCATAAAATGAAAACACTGAATATTTAAAAATAAGACTAATATAATTTTGATCTGAAAGACCAGTATGATGCAATTTCTTTGTGTCTTTTTATTGCTACAGTATTTTCCTCTAATCCTTAAACTGAATATTTTATTTATCTGCTTCTCAGGACTTTACAGTTTGATGAACCCAGAAATAAAAATAAATAATTACTCGACATATTATAAGACCCAAGTTATAGTTAAAAAACAAAGAACTATTCACATATATCATATTGTAAAGTATGATCACACGAGTATAGCCTACATTGTAATACTCTCAGAGTTGTTTTTTATTACTATTTTGAATTATATTAGTTTGCATGTCGTAAAGTAGATGTAAAAGCTAATTTTGAAGGGTAAAGTTTAAAAAGATATATGTATTTTTTATTCAAATAATATATATAAATCAATTATTCTAAATCGGAAAATATAGTTTCTGTTCTGTAAAAGTATCTCTTTTGAAATACATTCTTTGAATTTTCCTCACACTACGTTTACTAAATACGTTTTCTATCAATGGAAAATACCATATTTAAATATAAATAGGTTGAGAGGAAAAAGGAATTTTTATTAAAATTTTATATGACTTTAGGTTAGCTAAATATATAGTATGTGAAATATTCATTATCATCAATAAGTAATTATATAAAGGTTTTTTCCCTGAAAATAAAATACTCATGATATTTTAAAGTAGTTATTTTTTTTAGCTACCATAAATAGTGTTGCCCATTCAATACCATTTTGTATTTTATTGAAATTGTTAATCTTTAAAGAAAAGTATTATATCCATAGTTATCCAGTAGTGAAATGTAAAGCTTTTTTTGGTTGGTAACACTTAGTTTAGTATTAAATAAAAACCAATATGGTAAGTAATAAATTTGAAAATAAATTTCTACGTATAAAAAATTAAATTTTTCACGTAAATTCTTATTTGCTATTAAATTTATACTATATCTTTAAACTTTATAGATTACAACAAGTTTAAGATAACAGACAATAAAGTTAGAACACTTTTGAAATTTAAATATGTAAATTACTAGAGATTTACTTGATAAATATTTGATAAATATCAATTAGGTATTTTAGAATTTCATCCATTATAAGAATTATACCGTAGTTTCGAAAGTTGACTCCAGCTTGCGGAATTTGAACAATACGACATAAGATGACACGCCAGCAACAGCTAATTTTCTACTTTCGGGGCAGAAGGATAATAGCTGCACAGAAAAATGATCTTCATCGGTTCCTTCAGGTGATTTGCAACGAGGTTTTTCGAACACTTTGGCAGTTTTTAATTTGTATAACACTTGCAGGCTACCAGCACTAGCGTCCCAAAACCTAACACTGCCGTCTGTATGACTGTAATTAAAATATCCAATTACATAAACTAACTATTTAGTGCTCATTGTATATAAACTATAATTTATGAATATTAAAACTTCTATTTATAGAATAATTTTGTTATGTAACTCAAAGTATATTTTACTTACCCAGTCAGTATAATTTCATTGTAACTACAAGACGTAGGACTCCATTCCCCGCCTGATATGGGCCATTTATTTTCACTATAACCAGTTCTTTTAGAAGCTGATCTTGAACCAACCGAATAAAATGCGGGAATAAGATCGGATGGGCAGTCAGCAATGTAATGCACACACGATACTGGCGATTCATGAATGTCCATTGGATGTGGATTTTCGAAACACGGATATCCAGGACTGAGCAGATCGACTAGTACAAGGTCATTTTGCATAAGCACTGCTATAGCATAAGGCTCTTGAACATCTATTAACGTAAATTTGAGAAAAATTACTAAGAATAATAATTCTAAAAACAAGGATTTTATATTAGGGACCACTACGAGTAAATTTTTTAAATTCTAACAAGATAACAAAACTCAACAGAATGTATATTATGTTGGTAATTCTCAACTATTCTATTGGCACAAAGTTCTAAATATTAGCAGTATGCGTTTGAAGTTGTTGAATACCTACCACTGTTATAAGGACTTTCACATAGCGTTACAAAATCAACTATATTGTGGTCCATTTCGAGAACGGTAGTAGTTTTCCCATGCATGATAGTTATACTGGGCACTCTGCCAGCAGTATCGGCAGTCAGTCCTCCAGAAAATATCAAATACGATTCACTGGCAATAATATACAAAAGGAATTACTTACAGAAAATAGTGTGATAATAATATATTAAAGATTGAGATAAAATGACATTACATTATTAACAGACAATTGAATAAATATTATCCAAATGTCATGCATATTAATATTATTTATATAAATGAAAAAATTATTGTTCTACGTTTACAACTATATGATAAAATAAAATAAGAAACACTTATTTTAATATATCTATTATAACTGTTTGTTTAATATCTCAAGAGCACTTACCCGGATTTAGATGATTTCCATTCGACTTTTTGAATTGGTTTACAAGTGTCTGTTTTATTTTTAGCTAAAAAAATAAAAATAAAAGACACATGAATTTAATAGTTTAATTAATTTTAAAGGATAGTGATATAAATTTGAAAATTGTTTAAAAGAGTGGTTGAAATGTTTAAATTTTTATACAAAACATTAAAAATTGAATATTATTTGATGATTATGTCAGTAATTAATGATATTATTGTATTACAGATGTTTAAACTAAGTGGACCATGGCAATTGACCATTAACATTATGCAAACAAAATATTTTGTATAAATAGAAATATTGTTTGAAATGTTTACGGATGTTTTCAGTTATGATCTGATGTTTCGGACACGTTTGCAGAGTCCATCTTCAAAGTAATAGATACAACTACGAGCCTGTAACTATCGCTCTGAAGTGAGCTCTGCAACGAGTCCGAAACTTCATCTCATAACTGAAAACGTGGATACATACGTAAACATTTCAAGCAATACTATAATCTGCAAAAGCTTTAACACCTTCATAAACGGAAATAGTTATTTTATAAATTATACACCAAATTATAAAAATATTAAATTGATAATCAGAATGATATTTTCACTTAACTGGATTTTATTAATTATATTTTTACTGGTGAATTGGTCCCTTTAGATAAGTTCGTTTTATAGTAAATTATCAATACACTATCTCCCTTCTTTGATAATTCCCTGTATTTATCTTATATGTATAATTTTTCAAGTATTAAGCTAGTTTTAATAACGGTATTTAATCATAATAATATACACTACATATAACAATATTGTACGTATAAAACACTCATGAAATTTATTTTTATAGCTATAAAACACACAAATCAACAATTATCAATTTTTATTTTTATCAAAAATTAAATTTTCATGTGTATAATCTTTATTTGTTACATATATTTTTAAGGGTTAATTATTAACCATGAATTGCTTAGTTTTGATAGCAAAGGTATTCTACCCTATACAATGTATACTATTACCCTAGGGGTATAACATTAGCTTAATTAACATTCACCATGAGGATAAATTATGTTTGCCGGTTTCGATGAGGGTTTAACATTCCATGTTGTTAAACTCCCGTCATTGTGACTGCACGTGAACTGTTTTCCTTCAAAGTGCCAATCGATGGATTTCAGCGAATCGCTCCACTGCCAGCGGCATTCTGGCTTCTTGGTTTTCAAATCCCATAAAACCATAAGTCCACTTTCAAATCCGATGAGTAACTAAATTATATCAATTATAAATTAGTAGTCATACAAATACGTACTATACGTATTATAAAACACAAAAATAATTTTTATATCAATAGAATTGCCAATATTATATATTTTATATACTATCATTTTTTAGTATTCATTTAAGATTATTGATATTACATTTACATTTTTTAAATTAATTTCTTAATTTGGAGGGTTATCAAATTTGAAAACAAATTATTCAAGTTCTCATATAATAAACTTAAAATAAAGGAACACAGAAAATAAATCACTAAAAAGTTTACTTTATTGTTACTTTTAAAATAATTACATTCCTACATTTGAAATCATTAATAATACATAATTAATGTATTATTAATGATAAGAATCTAAATTAATAATTTAGATACAAAATAAGTATTAAAATTTTAAACATTGAAATTTATGTTAAATAAACATAGATAATATTAAATAATTTTAACTTCACCATATATTGACTAAAATTTAGTTAAAAGTTTAAAATTGTTATTTAAAGCTTTCTTGGAAGATTTTAAATCGTCTATTAAACACAAAGACCATTTTGAATGCGAAGCATATAGATAGAAACATAAAATTATTGTATGAATAATAACTTAAAGATTTCATGAAGAATTTCAATAAAATAAAGTTGTAAACATAATTACGTTTTTATTTTATGTAATATAAATATAAGTAGAAAGAACAATATTGTATATTAAATTTATGCGTTAAATTTGTAAATTTCAACAAAATTTTTAAACTAAATTCTAAATCAAATGGCTATGAACTCTAGTAAGTTTATTTTACTTTAAAGCTGACAGCTGTATTGCATCGTTACAGAGTTATTTGAAATCGTGCCAAACAAAATTAAAACAATAAATACTTAACTCACCTGAGTCATTACGCTATTACAATTAGAATGATACTCATAATTTAATGAAAAATTCCAAATGAGTAAAATTGAAATCAAATATTATTTTACTCGGTTTATTCGAATTTCCAACGATACAATGGTTGCACTTGAAGAGTTAAAAGAGTATAATACCTACATCATAACGACTTTAAATAATTGCTAGGACATTTTGAAATGATCTTAATTTGTCATCACCATTCATACGATATTAATAAAAATTATAAATTTTAATCCTAATTAAGCCCGAATTCATCTTAATAAAAGGGTCTTATTTACTGAAATGTATAGCCACATATTTTTATGTTACAAAAATATGTACTACGTGATACGTGATTCTTAAATATAACAACATTAGTATTATTATTGTATTAGTGTACAATTCTTTAGTAGTATAAATTACCTTGCTGGAATCTGCTGGATTATCGCTCAGGTGTACAATAGGTCCAGGATGGGTTGATCTGGTCCTAAAATAACATAAGAAACAAATTAATATAAAATTAAAATATTTTCAAGTAGACTTATAAGCGGGCCATATGCATTAAAAGTGTTATTATAAAGCGCATCGACTAGGGTATATTAATTTTGATATTTCAAAACACTTCTACCAAAGCAGATATAAAAATATAATGTATTTCTGGTACTTTTAAATCTAGCATATAACGTTATTCTATCGGAATTGAACTATATTTTGAGTTTTTTAAATGGAAACGTATGTTTAACAAGCTTAAAAATAACAAAAATTTAACTAAGAAAATTTCAGATTGGTAACAACTTTAGAGACATTATTTCTGAAATATTAACTCTTAACTATAATGACAGGAGGTAAAGTACGAGTCTGTTTATATTTATCTTTAGTTATCTATAGGATATTATTATATTCTAAAAAGAAAAAATTATAATATTTTTTATTCGTTTAAAAATATTACTTGAGACATAGTTAATCAATCGCTATGAACAATATACTTTCCAATCAAAAATTTGATATAATCACCATATAGTCACAATAATCTTTAACAATATGTTAGTAGTTTTAACTAGTTTCTTTACATACAATGTGATTTGTTTAGTATACTACTCCTTTTTTTTTTGTTAAATAATGATTTTTTCATACAAATATAAAAATCAAAATTTCATTTAGGGGTTATTTTTGAAATAGAGATAGGAACATCACATTTTTCCACTAGGGTCTACCTATCTAGCTAGGGCTCTACTCTCGACCCAAGGCCCTACAAACATCATGAGTCATTATTATAAGTAGGTCACTGATTTTTGCAGAAGTACCCTGTTACGATGAACAAGAAAAAGTTTTTATCAAAAAAAATATTACATTAGAATCATCAGTGTAACAAAAGTATATTAAAAACTTTATTATTAAAATCAAGAAAATTCAAAAAAAGAAAATAATAAAATGTATTTGGTATAAGATTGACATTTGTTTACAGAGGTATTTAGCTGGGGCGTATTCAGAAATCGTTTTAGGAGGGTATTTATATTTTCTTACTTTGATAAACATATTACAAACAATTTTTTAACTAAAAATCAAAGTGATGATCAAAAAAAAGATCTTTAGAGCCATACTTCTTAGATATAAAAATACAATACTGATTTTCGATCTATGAACATTTTATATTCTCAATTTAATAGTAAACAAAAATAATAATAATAGGATAATTTAAATTTAATAATTTAAATGTCGAAAGTTACTACTAAAATCTACCTTTAGAAATAATGTTTTCTTACAATACACTTGATATTTACTATGGCTCATAAAAATAAATCGAATTTTAATCTATACAATTTTTTAAAAAAACAATCATTTGTCAAAAAATGGAAGGTAGTATTCTGAATAAATTACACTATATTATGAAAATTTTAGACTTTTCTTTCACTTAGTATTTAATATTAAATTATTTATGAAGTAAACATCAACCAAATTATTACCGTAAAAGCATGAGAATTTAAAAAAAAACTTTGAATTGACATTTTTTATATTTCTCGTTTTTAATTTAAATACTCAAATATTGGTTTTAAGCTATACAAATTAAAGAAAATTTGATCCAGGAAATGAATAAATAATAATAAATTTGAAATATTATATTCTCATGAGATGATAATATATTTTCTATATTAAAACATGTGTAGTCAGTAATATCTCAACACAAAACGATTTAATTGCAGAAAATCATTATTTAATTAAGTTGAAGTACATTAATTTATTTTCAATTGTTAACGCTGAATTTACGACTATAAACTAAAAAAGTCTTCTTTTCCTTTGTACGAACTAAATTCACGATTTCTTAATGTAAATAATAATAATCTACAAACCCATATAAAATTAAAAAATATAAATTGTTTGTGAATCAGTTATTATTTAGTTTTGAGGTAATAGTTAATATCAAATTTATGTGTAATGTAATTTAAATATTTAATATACTTTGTACAACAATAATGACGATAATGAAGCATTTTATTATTAACAATTATAATCATATAATAGAAACTATTGATAGAAAGATAAACTCAACTATATAAATTGTATGTATTGAAACACGATACTTCAAATACTATAAACTAATATATTATATATGGAACCCAATATATTTTAAATTATACGTTTCTTTACAAATACGCTAAAATGAATTAAACTTATTGTTACTACGCAATTTTAGCTTCGATGCGAAGCTGAGAAGATATTGGTTTTACTATGATGTGTTTTTTTTTTTGGTCTATTACCACTTTTTCTCAGCTCTCACCGAACCGATTTCTTTCAATGATACGTCAAAAGATCACAAATCGTATCTAGTCAATACCCTTTAATATCCTTAATACAATACCCTTAAAAAATTGATAAAATTTCCCTCGTTCCCCGTAAATGGGGGAAACCTCCAAAAAAATTACAAATTTAAAAATCGCTAATTTTTTCAATTTTTTTTACTTTAAATTGCTATAACTTTTTTAAAAATAACCAAATCAATATAATTTTTTTTATATAGATGCATGATATCATTACCTTTCATTTGGTATATTTTTTTTTATATCTGACNGCATCTTTCATTTGGTATATTTTTTTTTATATCTGACCCTTTACCTGCCCACAGGGGGGGATTTAAATGACAACTTTTTCACAAAAAATTAATTTTTTCAACTTGACTTTTGAAAATGTTCCGGAAAGTCTGACACTTTTATATATATCTTAAATTAAAGCTAATGTAATGTACTTTATTATGGAAAAAAAAATTTGACATCGGGACTTTTATTTTAAATTTTTAGGTGAAAATTCTCGATTTTATATTTTACATTTTTAACTGTATTGAACTATAACTTATTGAAAAGTGTATGAATCAACACAATTTTTTTATGAGAAATAATATTTTTTAATAATCCCTCTTTCATTCGACATACTTTATCTTAATCAGCATATTAATAAGGAACTATCAGATCATGTAGCTTTTGGAATAATCCACCATTATTTTTAAATTAAACACTATTTAAAGATTTGCATCAAAGCGTTTTTTTTAAATTTTTCCTCTTAAGAAATTTTGTCACTTAAAACAATGAACATATTACTTTACAATGACTTTAACATAGTAGTCTTTCCAAACAAAACATAATAGTTAGGGTTGTGAATTAAATGTATTTATTAATTGTGTTAAGTAAATCTGAATACATCATCATTCAGTCCAAAATTTTATTAATTGACCTTAAAACTACGTAATGTGATTTTTCAATGTTATAGTTTCGTTTGGGTTGGGGAGGGTGGTTGAATCCTCTAACATTAAAAAAACTTTTACGTTACTATATAATCCTACGACAAAGTCGAACAAACTTGGGACCCTTTAAAGTTTAAATAGTTCAAATTAAATTTATAAATGCATAATTTGCAGGACTGATAATAGTTTTCTTTCAAATTTCTAGTAAATAAAACATTTATTTTTCGAGAATTATATTAAATATCATTCATGCATTATTGAATGAATAAATTTTATTAATTTGACAAACATTTGTATATATGTTCAACGTCGAAAAATTACAGTGTATATTAATGACAGTAAGTTCTTACAAGACGACATAAGAAATCTTAATTTATAAAACAAAGTTTAAATTACGTCCCTTGATATTTTTTTTTGTTAATAGTAAACTGTTACTAAATGATAACATCTCATAAAAACGTGATTAATGCGTAGAAAAATAAGACAAACATGTTCTAGAATCAAAAACATTGAAAGTCAATGTACTGAGACATCGTTACAAAAACAGAAGAATATTATAATACATAACTTTAAAATAAGAAAATTATTTACCACATATAAGGCTTACAACAGTTTACAACGAACTTAACAACAGAATTAGTTTTAAAATAACACATATTTCCTCAAAATTATTACGAATTATAAGGTGTTTTTTTTGTAGTTATCAGTTAGAAATAATAAACGCACTAATAAAATTAAATAGGTGTTCTTATTGAATAACAAACATTAGTAAGACCATATGCCAGAATAAATACCGAAAATATTCTGTCATCGTCTGTTCGCCTATGCACCACAAAAAAAATGTACAATTGAGAGTTACGATACAGGTATGTTACACAACAATGGTTATTATATTTAATTCAATGGTAATTGATTGCACGTAATTCAATCTTCCATCATACGTGGCAGATTCCATTACATCGAGCACGGTTAACAGTAATTTTTGTAGGAATTATGTAAGAAATATAAGACATTGAAAAATTATATAGCAGTACTTCAAGTGCGAAGTAAAAATATGAAGACGTTACGTGATATTTTGCATGATATGGCGCATTAATATTCGTCTGACTTTGTTAAAATTCTTTGTTTTGATTAAGTTAACTTTATCAAAGCATAACCTTTGTTTAAATCAGCCGAATCGAAATGTCACTGACGAGCACACAGAAAAAATTCAGCAGAGTTTGTGGTAAAAACATTAAGTGGTGTTTGGTGAACCAGAAACGAGGAGACCTAAAGTATATAGCGACGGAGGTATAAACAGAAGGCAAGAGTGATCCAAGAATCTTAAATTTCACACACGTACTCAACAACCCTAAGTTGTTATCAAACAGCAAATACAAAACTGTCGAGACAGGAATACTTTGTAGTTTAACAGTAACATTAAACTCGTGCGTACACTACAATAACTAATTAAAATGCTGGTGCTTATAAATACATTAATTAAAAAAAATAATACAATTAAGTCATCAGAAGAAAATTTCTAATAAAACAAGATTTTTAAGTTTCAGTAAAACTTATAAGATCTAATTCTAGTTTTAATTCTCAGTTATAATTTAATGCATAATTAATGATCTATATATCAAATAGCCTTTTTGAATATTAAATACTAAGTATATCTTCTTCTTTTTCCTCGCCTAAATCCCAATTACTTGAGTTCGACAACCCTTATCCTAAACTTCCACTTATCACGATCTCCCACATCAGCCATCCTCATA